ATGCTTACCCCTTGGAAGGAAAGTTAGGACCAACCTAGACAGCATATTAAAAAGCAGAAACATTACTTTGTCAACAAAGGTCCGTCTAGTCAAGGCTATGGATTTTCCAGTGGTCATGTATGGATGTGAGAGTTGGACTATAAAGAAAGCTGAGCACCTAAGAATTGATGCTTTTGAACTGTGGTATTGGAGAAGACTATTGACAGTCCCTTGGACTGCAAGGAGATCCATCCAGTCCATCCTGAAGGAGATCAGTCCTGTGTGTTCACTGGAAGGACTGATGCTGAAGCTGAAACTCCAATTCTTTGACCACCTGATGGGAAGGGTTGACTCGTTGGAAAAGACCCTGATGCCGGGAAAGATTGAGGGCAGGAGGAGAAGGGGACGACAGAGGATGAGATGGCTGGATGGCATCACCGACTCAATGGACATGAGTTTGGGTAAACTCCGGGAGTTGGTGATGGACAGGGAGGCCTGGTGTGCTGCGGTTCATGGGGTTGCAAAGAGTCAGACTCGACTGAGCGACTGAACTGAATTGAACTGAGCCATTTCTGATAAACTGTTTCTTCAGTTTATCATGCCATCAAGGCTCTGGGTTAGAAATAAGGAAACGCTGCAATCAGACATAGGCTTTATACATTAGCAATATCTACTAGAATTTTATTAAAAAGTACTTTGCTCATAATTCTTATATCTTCCTTACAGTGCTGTAAATCGCTCAAACGTAACTACCAGCTGGGCAGCTCCAGTTGTGTGGCACGGCACTTATGATGAAGTGGTGCTGGAAAATTACTACGCAAGTCATAAAATTACCGTGGGGTTGACTGTGTTTGCTGTGGGAAGGTAGGTATTGCTGAATGACCTTTATATTCAGGTGTTTTATTTTAGAAAATGGGAGATTATCAATAATCTACCTCAAGAATTTAGAAAAAGTAGAACAAAATAAAACAGAAGAAAGCAGAAATAAGGAAGTAATAAAGGTGAGAGCAGAAATCCATGAAATTGAAAACAGAAAAGTCTCAGAGAAAAATCAATGAAACAAAAATGTGGTCCTTTGGGGGGGGAAAAAACCCAATAAAATCCATAATCACCCAGGAAGACTAGCCAAGAAAAAAAATTAATACAAATTACAAATATCAGGAAAGAAACAGGGTATATCACCTTAGACCTTGTAGACTTTAAAAGGATAATAAGGAAACCCTATAAAAATTCTCTACATATCTGACAACTTAGAGGAAATGGACCTTAAAAAGCACAAACAACCACAACTGACCCAACATGAAACAGATCATTTGAATAACCCTATAACTATTGAGAAAATAGAATTCATAATTTTAAAAACTCCCAAAGGGGCTTCCCTGGTGGCTCAGCTGGTAAAGAATCTGCTTGCAATGCGGGAGACCTGGGTTTGATCCCCGGGTTGGGATAATCCCCTCGAGAAGGGAACAGCTACCCACTCCAGTATTCTGGCCTGGAGAATTCCATGGGCTGTATATAGTCCATGGGGTCACAAAGAAAGGACTTTCATTTTCAAAGTCCTTAGGCGGAGATAGTTTCATCAGAGAATTCTACCAAATATTTAAAGAAAAATTAACATCAATTCTACACAATCTTTTTTGGAAAAGAGACTAGAAATCATTTTATGAAGCAAATGCTGCCTTGATATAAAAATCATACCAAGAAGAGTACGAAAAACTATTAAGTTGAACAATACTTATCACTCATTAAAATGATAAAGTTATCAGCTTCATAGCAACTTGCTATTAAATATTGATAGTAATTTATTGTTTAATAAAAAGAACACAGAAAGAGGAAGAAAGGGAGAAGGGAGGGAAGACTCCTTACTGAAGAAGTTTCCCATCATCTCCTCCCGAACTCACTGTGGTCTCTTCAAGTTGCTGCCCCAGGATCTGTAACAAAATCCTGGGGAGTGAACCCATTCTGGGGCAGTGCTTCTACCTTCAGGACACAGAGGGAGTTTCTGATTCCTCCCTAGACCCTCCTGAATAGAACACAGAGTCTTGGAAGGGTACTGTATAAGGGAAGGGGTGCTGAAACCACAGCTTCATTAACCTCACCATGAACCCCCCACTCTCTTTTAAAGAACCTCTGAAAGCTCAGGAGTAAATGGCATCAATCCTCTGAAATTAGAGGAGTATAGGTGGGGCTGAAACTAGGAGGATAGATTTAAAGTATCTATATGGAAATTTTCAACATGAATATCTGCTACAGGAATGAACAATTAAGCCAATAAAATAAAACAGAAAAATACCATGCAAATATTAAAGACTTTCTATTCATTGGCAATAGCACTGTAGACCTGTAGGGAAAGACTTCCATAAATGATGCTGGAAAAATCAATGTGAACACAGGAAAACTGAAATTGTACTTCTATAGCATATCATGTACAAACATACAAACATCAATTATGAGGTAGTTTGAAGACCAATAGTTAAAAGACAAACTATATCTTCATGAACTCAGGATAGAAAAGGATTTCTTAATCAAGACATGGAAACTACTAATCATAAAGGAAGAGCCTGATAAGTCTGACTGCTTAAAATTAACTTCACCTAAGGAAAAATCAGAGAAACCCAAACTGAAGGCATACAAAATATGTGGTCAGGGTCATGACCCAACAAGAAGAGAAATTGACAGAATGGAAGAGACTAGGGAGACTAGAAGAGACTAGTGACTGAATGCAGTGTGTGTTCTGGATTGGATCCTGGAAACTGAAAAGGTCATTAGGGAAGAAACTGGTGAAAATCACATAAACTCTGTGATTTAGCTAATAGTATTCTACCACTGATAATTTCCTAGTTTTGACAAATGTACTATGGTTATATAATATATTACTATTAGGGGAAGGTGGGTAGAGCATATGTGGGAACTCTGTAATATATCTGCAAATCTAATTTTCTGTAAATCTAATGCTATGCTAAGTCGCTTCAGTTGTGTCTGACTCATTGCGACCCTATGGACTGTAGCCTGCCAGGCTCCTCTGTCCATGGGATTTTCCAGGCAAGAGTACTGGAGTGGGTTGCCATTTCTTTCTCCAGGGGATCTTCCCAATCCAGGACTGAACCAACATCTCTTAAGTCTCCTGTATTGGCAGGCAGGTTCTTTACCACTAGCACCAACTGGGAAGCAGGCCTTGCTAAGATCCAGTGTAGTAAGTCTAATAGCATTCCAACATAGAAAGTATTTTAAAAATTGGGGGAAAAATGTTTGCCACTGTAGTGAAAGTAAGTTTTTTTTTTAAATTGTAAATGCCTGATATTAAGCTTTGGATTGATTGCTGAGACATCCATTGTATTTATTTTTCATTGCCGCACTGTACAGCTTGTGGGATCTTAGTTCCCTGACCAGGGAGGAAACTTGGGCCCTGTGCCATAAAAGGGCAGAGTCCTAACCACTGGACCACCAGGGAATCCCCTGAGATATCCACTTTAAAGACATCCATCTCAAATGAAAATATTGCTTACTAGCTAAACAATTAGATAAAGAGCCAAGTCACCCTACCCATGAAATCTTCCTTTTAGAAAGTCCTGAGTGATCTGATCTACATAAATGACCACTAGCATGACCCCGTTTTTTCCCCTCTCTTGCTTTAACTTCCGCTTTTACATTTAAAATTTGTCAATAGAGTGAACTCGCAAAACCCTAGGCAACCCACCCTCAACCCAGTAAAGGCAGAACCCTAGGTCCTTCGTGTTTCTCTCTCTCTCCTACCACCTCCAACTTGTGACCTCACTGTGTGGCCCCAGGCATGCCACGTATCCTCTAGGATTTGTGATTAATAAAGCTTATTTTCTCAAAGTTCCCTATGGTTGTTGTTGAGGTGCTCCTTGAAATTATAGTAAGAATGACAAAGACTGGTCCAGCCATAACGTAGGCTCTGGTGATGTCTGGTGGGAAGTAGGGATGTCTTACCACAAGTAGTAGGGACTCCAGCGAGTGCCCCCAGGCACTCCTAGCCGATAACATCACTATCAGTAGTCAGAGACTGATGCAAAACAGCCCCAAAGCACATCACACACAAAAATTAACCCAAATGGATAATAGACTTAAATATGAAAGATAGGACAATAAAGCTACTAGAAAAACATATAGGAGAACATTTTCACTACTTTGAGGGGGCAAAGATTCCTTAAGTATGACACAAAAGCACTAACCATAAAAGAAATATGGATAAATATGGACTTTGGATTTGAGTTGCTAGCTTCCAGCTCAATATAATATTTTAAGTGATATTTTTCCATAATGTACCTAATAATTTTAGATACTCCAAACTAGAGAGTTTTCTCCTGACTCCATCTGTTGTATTTCTTAAGGCTCTGATCAATATCCAGAACTTATTTCTAATGATCATATAAACATCATTTGAACTAGCCACATATATTACCTTTTCTTTTTTGAATTCACCTGAGGCCATTTATTACTACAAGAATCCTTAACTGGCTGGAGAGATTGGAAATGAGAAAGTTTGCCTTCAGTCCAGCAATCTTAGCACCATATTAAAGGGCATAGGGCAAAATAAGAAACCCAGTGCTGACAGTGGATACAAAGCATGTCACCTCTGACTTTTTATGCATAATTAACTACTCTAAGTAAGCCACAGGCATCAGTAACTGCTCTTGCAATGACCTATGACCTTTCCTGCCTACAATCTCTAAAACAAGTCCCAACTGTTCTGATAACCCTGAAAACTCAGGCTTTTGTTTTGTGCTGGGCACGGTTCAGTTTTCTGATCTCACCAAGTTTCATTCCCTCTCATGAGAAATTCCTCTTTTCTCCTATGATCCATAAAACCTCACCAGGGAGAGGAAAGGCAGACAATTTCACTTTTACACTACTTAAATACAACTCAAGAAGCATATCTAATGTTTGGTTCCTTAGTAGCATTTTCGAGAGAAAACTACAGTAAGTGTAATTTAAATAGTATGTGTTTCACTAACATACAAGAAGATGAACTTAATTGCTTCTTATTTACTTCACAGATATACAGACCGTTATTTGTATACATTTATAACATCAGCTGACAAATATTTTATGGTTGGCCAGAAAGTCATCATTTACATCCTGGTAGATGACTTCTCTCAGGTGCCCTGGGTAGAGCTGGCTCCCCTCCGAATGCTGAAAATTTTTCAAATAAAGCGAGAGAAGAGATGGCAAGACATCAGTATGATGCGCATGAAGATCATCAGTGAACATGTTGTGGATCACATCCAATATGAAGTTGACTTCCTCTTTTGCATGGATGTGGATCAAATCTTTGTAAAAAAATATGGACTGGAGACTCTAGGGGAGTCAGTAGGTCAGTTACATGCTCATTGGTATAAGACAAGTCCTTCAGAGTTACCTTATGAGAGGAGTCAGTCATCAGAAGCATATATACCTATTGGTAAGGGGGACTTTTATTATCACGCTGCTGTCTTTGGTGGTACTCCTATTCAGGTTCTCAATATTGCTAGGGAGTGCTTCAGAGGAATCATGAACGATAAGAAAAATAACATTGAGGCAGTGTGGCATGATGAAAGTCACTTGAACAAATATTTTTTCCTCCATAAACCCACTAAAATCTTGTCACCGGAATACTGCTGGGATGAGTTTGGATCTAATAGTATTAAGAATGGCACTTTCAAACTCTATTGGGCTATTAAAAATTATGACTTTCTTAGACAGTCAGTGTAATTTTATAGCCCTTCCTTGGTGTTGCTGAATTTAAAAGCATCATTTTGTCTTGTCTTTAAAAAATCAGTACTTGACAAATTTTAGCACCATAAAAATAATCACTAGTAAAATGACAAATTCACCAACACAGTTATATTCATACTTTTCCTCACTTTTCTTTTTGAATCATAAAATATAGGATATAGCAGTTACAGAATGAATATATTGACATCAGATGGAAATATAGTGTTCTCATATCTTGTGTGAATTTTGAGAAAGTATTTTTTTTGTATCACATTGGACAAAATAGAATCTGTCAGGAGAAAATGAAATCTGAAATATTTTCACTGATCCAGCTAGATATATATTTCTTATATTGCTTAAGGAAAGGGATAATCTATGGGTATGGATAAGGGAAATCAGTGCAACTATACTAATCTACTCTTTATGTAAAATTTTGAGGACATTAAAGCTGCCACCAGATGGGCAGACAGTTACTCAGAAAACTGGGTTATTAAAAAAGAAGTTTTTTTTTTTAACTTTTTAGTTTGTATTGGGGTGTAGCCTATTAACAATGTTGCGATAGTTTCAGGTGAACATGAAGGGACTCAGTCATACAAATGGATGTATCTATTCTCTCCCAAACTCCCCTCCCATCCAGGCTTCCACATAACATTGAGCAGAGTTCCATGTGCTATACAGTAGGTCCTTGTTGATTATCTATGTTTAATATAGCAGAGTGTACATGTCCATCCCAAATTCCCTAACTATCCCTTCTGCCCTTCCTTCCCACCTACAGCCATAAGTTCAGAATGTGTTTTAAAACTACAAAGTTATCTGTTGTAAAAACTAATAAGGAAATTTTAAATATAGAGAGAAAACTGAAAGTCTTCCTATACTCTCCCTTTGAAAACCTATCACTCAATATTTCCTTTATATGCATTTATATACCCACCACACGATTATATACACACACATGTATGTGTGCCTGTGCATATATGCTTATATATTATTTTATATAAATTAACTTATATCTTGACTCATCGGAAAGGACCCTGATGCTGGGAGGGATTGGGGGCAGGAGGAGAAGGGGATGACAGAGGATGAGATGGCTGGATGGCATCACTGACTCGATGGAAATGAGTTTGAGTAAACTCCAGGAGCTGGCGATGGACAGGGAGGCCTGGCATGCTGTGATTCATGGCGTCGCAAAGAGTCGGACATGACTGAGCGACAGAACTGAACTGAACTGAACTTATATCACATAAATGCACACATGCATGCATGCATACACGTTTTATCAATTGTCAGGGTCTAGTTAGGAAAATAGAACTACTGTTCCAGGTATTTCAAACAGTGGGAATTTAACACAGGGGATTGGACGTATATAAGTGATAAAAGAGTTGAGGAGAAAATAAGATATATATGTATATATGTATCTTGTTTATCCATTCATCTGTCAATGGACACTCAGGTTGTTTCCATGTCTTAGCTATTGGAACTAGTGTTACTATGAATACTGGGTGCATGTATCTTTATGAATTAGAGTTTTCTCCAGATATGTGCCCATGAGTGGGATTACTGGGTCATAGGGTAACTCTATTTTCAGTTTCTTAAAGACCTTCCATACTGTTCTGCATAGCTGCTGCAACAACTTACATCTCCACCAATAGTATAGGAGGGTTCCTTTTCTTTCACCTCTCTCCAGCATTTATTATTTGTAGACTTTTAAATTATATGTATATATTCATTCAGTGAAGACAGTAGCCCTCCTGGGACTGAAGAAAAAAAAATTGTAGGATGTCCAGAAAGAGTTAGAACCTAGCATGAGCTGCCTGGCATGAGATGAAACAACAAAGAGGATTTTTAGTCACTGCCGCATTGGGCAGATGAGAAAAATGAGAGACCCAAAAGTTGACAGACAGATGGCTACCACAACCCACCCATTCTGCCTTGAAACGGCCATACTCATCCTTCCACCCATACCTAACTCTCATAAAACAACTTTATGTTTCCACTTTGCAGAATTCAACTAACTTTTGTACAAGTAAAGAATCACTTTCTTCTCAAAAAGTGAAACACAAATTACTATCTGACATTATTTCTCTCCCCATGTTCAAGAACCCAGATAATATGAGGTCTCCTCCCTCAGAATGGTGCATGACTCTTCAGTTTGGTGAACTCTGATATAAATTGGAAAGAAAAGAAATAACCACTCCTCATTAAGAAAGAAATTGTAGAAGAAAGAAATAGGGAAAATAATTGTGCGTGTGCTAGTCACTCAGTCACATCTGACTCTTTGCAACCCCATGGACTATAGCCCACCAGTCTTCTCTGTCTATGAAATTTCCCAGGCAAGAATATTGGAGTGGATTGACATTTCCTTTGGTTAACATATAAAGACATACATTTGTATATAACTATATATATTAAGTTTCATTTGTAATATAAATATAAGAAAAATGTGCAGGCCTGTGGCAGTCTTCATTTTTGTAGCTGGTTACAGAGTCAAATTCACATTTATCATTTCTTCCTTCTATCACCAATTTCATGTTCCTTGCCCTCTGTTGGAAGCTCAGCTATATATGGTTCTTTACCTAGTGTGGTGGCTTTATACCTTTATTGTCTGGTATCTGACTCTTTAGTGGGTCTTTACTGGACTGTTGGTTTTCTCATGAAGACTGTCTAATAAGAAGCTCCAAGGGAACATCTTAAGTTCTTAACACAGTCCTCCTTCCACTATCATGTAGTTGCAACCTCTTTCATTTTGATAATTGTTATCAGTAGCCCCACCCAGACCCCTTCTCTGGCTGTTGACTCAGCATGATGGAAAGACAAAATGTCCAGAAAAAAGCCTCAGATTCCAATTCAACAGGACCATCACTATGTTCCCTGGTGGAAACACGCCTTCTTTATGCCCTCATCCCTTCCTTAACTTTCTTCAGTCGCGAAGTCATGTCCAACTCTGCAACTCCACGGACTGTAGCCTGCCAGGCCCCTCTTTCGATGGGATTTCCTAGGCAAGAATACTGGAGTGGGTTGCCATTTCCTTTTCAGGGGGATCTTCCCAACCCAGGGATGGAACGTGGGTCTCGTGCATTGCCCGCAGATTCTTTACCACTGAGTCACCAGGGAAGCCCCTCTTTGTGCCCTCAGCTCAGTTCAGTTCATTTCAGTCACTCAGTCATGTCCGACTCTTTGTGACCCCATGGAATGCACCATGCCAAGTTTTCCTGTCCATCACCAACTCCTGGAGCTTGCTCAAACTCATGTCCATCAAGTTGGTGATGCTATCCAACCATATCATCCTCTGTCATCCCCTTCTCCTCCAGGCTTCCATTGCTCCCAGCATCAGGGTCTTTACCAATGAGTCAGTTCTTTCATCAGGTGGCCAAAGTACTGGAGTTTTCGATTCAGCATGAGTCCTTCCAGTGAATATTCAGAACTGATTTCCTTTAGGATGGACTGGTTGGATCTCCTTTCAGTCCAAGGGACTCTCAAGAGTCTTCTCCAACACCACAGTTCAAAAGCATCAATTCTTCGGCACTCAGCTTTCTTTATAGTCCAACTCTCACATCTATACATGACTACTGGAAAAACCATAGCCTTGACTAGATGGACATATGTTGGCAAAGTAATGTCTCTGCTTTTTAATATGCTATCTAGGTTGGCCATAGCTTTTCTTCCAAGAAGCAAGCTTCTTTTAATTTCATGGCTGCAGTCACCATCTGCAGTGATTTTGGAGCCCCCCAAAATAAAGTGTCACTGTTTCCATTGTTTCCCCATCTATTTGCCATGTAGTGATGGGACTGGATGCCATGATCTTAGTTTTCTGAATGTTGAGTTTTAAGCCAACTTTTTCAGTCTGCTTTTTCACTTTCATCAAGAGGCTCTTTAGTTCTTCTTCACTTTCTGTCATAAGGGTGCTGTCATCTGTGTATCTGAGTTCATTGGTATTTCTCCCAGCAATCTTGATTCCAGCTGTGCTTCTTCCAGCCCAGCATTTCTCATGATGTACTCTGCATATAAGTTAAATAAGCAGGGTGACAATACACAGCCTTGATGTACTCCTTTCCCAATTTGGAACCAGCCTGTTGTTCCATGTCTAGTTCTAACTGTTGCTTCTTGACCTGCATACAGATTTCTCAGGAGGCAGGTAAGGTGGTCTGGTATTCTCATCTCTTTAAGAATGTTCCACAGTTTGTTGTGATCCACAAATCAAACCCCTTGGCTTAGTCAATAAAACAGAAGTAGATGTTTATCTCAAACTCTCTTGCTTTTTCGATGATCCAACGTCATAGTCAACAAAAGAGTCCAAAATGCAGTAGTTGGATGCAATTTCAAAAACGACAGAACATTCTCTGTTCATTTCCAAGGCAAACCATTCAATATCATGGTAATCTAAGTCTATGCCCTGACCAGTAAAGCTGAAGAAGCTGAAGTTGAATGGTTCTATGAAGACCTACAAGACCTTTGAGAGCTGACACCAAAAAAAGATGTCGTTTTCATTATAGGCGAATGGAATGCAAAAGTAGGAAGTCAAGAAACACCTGGAGTAACAGGCAAATTTGGCCTTGGGGTACAGAATGAAGCAGGGCAAAGGCTAATAGAGTTCTGCCAAGAGAACGCACTGGTCAAAGCAAACACCCTCTTCCAACAACACGAGAGAAGACTCTACACATGGACATAACCAAAATTTTGGCCAACACCAAAATCAGATTGATTATATTCTTTGCAGCCAAAGACAGAGAAGCTCTATAACGTCAGCAAAAACAAGACTGGGAGCTGACTGTGGCTCAGATAGTGAACTCCTTATTGCCAAACTCAGACTTAAATCGAAGGAAGTAGGGAAAACCACTAGACCATTCAGGTATGACCTAAATCAAATCCCTTATGATTATACAGTGGAAATGAGAAATAGATTTAAGGGACTAGATCTGATAGATAGAGTGCCTGATGAACTATGGACAGAGGTTTGTGATACTGTACAGGAGACAGGGGTCAAGACCATCCCCAAGAAA